TAATATGCCAGTACCTGAGAATATCGCAGTGAGTATTTAGATTGGTATCACTGTGACTGCCTGAATTTCGTAAGTCAAAAAATCAGCACTGCTAATCCAGAACATTTATTATGAGTTTGCATTAAAACAGTAAAGCCCAACCACATGGTTTCCAAAGATAACACTTTGAGATGAATCAAAAAACGTTTCTTGTTCGAAAGGCAAAATATGAATGCCTCATATGAATGAAAAATTCACGGGATAAATGATCGTTATTTCCTAACAGGAGGAGATTTTATAGTTCAAACGAAATCCGGAAGATGAGATCCTCGGATAAAAAAAAATTCCGTGAACTCGTTTTTTTAAGTTTATATAACTTTTAACATCACCTTGCTTGGACCTCGCAAAACCACGGTTACAGCAGTGGCTTTTTCGGAAGTAACATAGGTGTAGTATTCGTCACCAATTTTTTTAATTTCAAATAAATCAGCATGCGTACCGACATCTTCTTCACGAAGATCCTGCGTATCATTAACAATCGTAGCTCCAGTAACACTGCAATGAAGTAGTCGCTGTCAAGAAACATAAAGTTTGACACTTCCAAAAATTGAGAATGCGAGATTTTCAATCTTCTGCCATGTTAGAATATTTCATCTCTGTCACCTCTATCGCCCCTTCCTTTAGTTTTTATAGAAGATAACTGACCGAAATTATACAATGTAAATATTTAAAGTTGAAAAATATGACCATCTTTTTCATTAAAACACCATATCGTAATACGATCAAAATATCATAATATGACCATTCCATTCACTAAAAATCATACCGAGCCAATCTGTTGTTCTCAGTTTTCTTCAAGCGTCTAATGGCTGTTACGCCCGCCTTCAGAAGGAAATGTTGAGCTAAATCAGAAACACCTTTCTCTGTGAAAACAACATCCGGTTTCACGGCTATTATATCGTCACACATTTTCTTGATTGCATCTTCTTCCTTAAAAGTGTCTTTTTTTAATACAAATTTAATTTTAATGCTTTAAAGGGAACTTTTATTTTAATGCTTTTTTCACCTGAACCAGTCCTTTCAAAAATATTTCTTGGAGCATTTTACTAATTGTTGCAGTAAAAAGAACGACTTCTAGTATCCTAAAACATAAGATGAATAAAATGAGAACATACTTGTTCTAAAACTTTGCTGAAGTCTTCTTCTTTCATGATTTCTAGCGCCATCTGACTTTCGCCCTTTTTATATTCAAGATTGCAGTCAAGAAGTACAACACGTGGTTTTTCCTTCCGACGTAACATTTTTGCATGCGTCACATCTTTATTTAACACTACGCCTTTTATCACTTGTGAATCTTCAATTCGTCCACCTGGTATCTAGAAATTGACAAGTATGAATCAGCTTGAATCGAAGAATTATTTATTTTTGATTACCTGATTATTCCTGCTGTTGAGCAATATATGATGATGAAAATATGATCAGCGCAGAAAGTATTACTACTTTTCTTACTCAAGCAGTAACTATAAACATAGTTTTTGCTATTTCTAGTTAGCTCATACAATAATTTTTGAGAAACAACAACAACATATAATAGTCGGTGCTATTTAAGCATGAATATTAACAACGTATTGCCACAACTTGAGATTGATGGAAATTTTAAAAAATTTTGAATATTCTATGTGAGAAAATAATATGAATACTTTTTCAATACGACAATAACGCTTGATATCAATTTCCTGATGGCCATGCTCGATAATTCTAATAGTTTTAACAGCATTTAAAGCCATTTTAACAGCTAAATCCATCCATTTCGACAACATTTTTGTACCCAAGCATGATTTAATAACAGAAGTAACTTCATCATCATTGTTTACATCAATCTGCTTGCTGAAAGGTAATCACATGTGTGAAGCAATTTAAAATTACAAGAGTGAACTTTATTTGAAAAATCCCAAATAATCCATAGAGTTACGGGGGATCTATTTTTAGCAGGATCCAGCACAAATCCATCTGTCAGGAAAAGTAAGAGTAGAAATTTCAGAGCCTTAAAACACATATACATCATAGCTTAATAAAATACTGGGCGCAAATACGCACTTTAAATTTAATCATATTAACTGAGAGCACATCTGAATTTTGCATTTCAGTCAAATTTTTGATTGTATATAAGTAACCTGAATTTTTCCTCAGCGAGCACGATCATATCTTCTAGAGCCATCCGATAAGCCTGAATGTAAATTAGTTTTGCATGCAATTCTAGTATTAAAAAAAACTTGAAAACTTAATTTTCAATTAATATTTAACTAAATTGTGAAAAAGTGTTTCGAAACTGGTACGACTCACCTGAATAATAATAGTCGGATGGATGTTCTGATCTAAAAATTGCTGTGCTTGCGACATCACTTCACCAGCAAGTACTATAACCGAGGTAGTACCATCACCAGTTTCCTCATCCTGTGTACGAGCTATTTCGATGATTGACTTTGCCGCTGGATGTTTCACCGTAATTTCACGTAAAATAGCATTACCATCATTGGTAATAACTATACCTGCAATTGTTTGATAAATAAGTAAACTCCCAATAATCAAAATGCTTAGAAAATACTTTTTATATCTGCATGCCAGATGTTGCCAAATATTAGCTGTTGCTTATTGGTTAGTCGATAAGACATGTAAACATAACATAGAAATTTAATCGATGTTTTCTTTCGAATTAAACAAATGTATACCTCCCATTGGATCCATCAGCATTTTTAGCATAGCACGAGGACCCAAACTTGTACGAATGACATCAGCAATAGTCTGAAACACGAGAATTACAACAGTGAGTGATCCTCTTTATGCCAGCTTCACAGCTCAATAATTTGTTCATCACAGTTGCAAAGGATGAACCATTCCGATGAATGTGGTTAAACAAGATCAAAACTACAATGCCCTAAGAAAGCCCTGCTGAGAGGTATTACAATATTATAATTACATGTCATGTAACTGTTAGATGATAATGTTAAGGATCAATAATGTTGATGGTAAGAATCGATACCTTCGCAGCGGCAATATTACCAGCTTGTACTTGATGGCCACTTTCTCTGGTCGTATTTTGACTAAGTACAATAATTGGTGTAGCGCCACCTGCACGTATCATTTTTACTGTATTTTCTGTTCACTGTATTTCCTGTCAATCAAACAGCTGAAAGTATCTGTGTAAGTAAGACCAACACTTACTTGCCCAATTTCTTAGCAGAATTTTGTTCTAGTTACAAGCATATATGAAAGGAAAAATTTAGGGAAACATTCTGAGCCATATCTGAATTCAAGTATTCGATTACCGCATATGTCTTCGGAAATAAGATCTAATGGGTAAGCAACTCTACCAAGATTTTTCAGGTTGTCTGCACCTCAATAAAAGTTGCAGCTATGATTGTCAGCAGAAATAAGTCTATCTAATTCTACCAGTTGTTTCTCAAGACAACCAAAGATGTCTGTTAATCGTCGGAAATAGATCTAACGGGAAAGCCTACTCCAACGAGCTAAAGAGATAGCGACATTTCTTGCAGACAGAAAAAGAAATCAAATAATGGTTCCTCAAGAATGACTGTTTATTTTTAGGTTTTTATACAGCAATAATCCATTTAAGGATCATTTGGGCATGAAAATCGCTAACTACATTGAAAATACAATGAAGAGAAGTCAGCGAGAAGCCTATCTATGAAGCCTACCTTTATTTTACTGAAGAATTCATAGGATAAAATCACTGACAATTGCACTAGAACAAGTGCTCATTTACGGATAGCTTAACTACTGGACATATGAAATTTCAGTTCTATAGACAATGAAAAAGCAAAAGATTTAAGCCGGAAATTCGGTTTTAAAGAACTATGACGACATTCTAGAATATGATATGAATGTATCTGAAGTGTAAATCTTATCACACAAACAAACATATCTGAAAATGAAAAATAAACTACCTGAAAATCTAATGCGTCTTTTGGAACAAAAATCAATAGCAGTCTTATTTTCAGAGAGATACGATACCACAATACCACGATGATGTGAGTCTAATTAGCCTAGAACAGTAGAAGTTACTAAAAGATCTTACTGGTTCAGAATGCGACAAAATGACTGATTATGAAGAACAAAACCACATGAATTATTTCAGCATTAGGCTTAGTCCAAATATCAGAAAGTTACTTTGCCTATATCACCATAAAAATTCCAGGTACAGAAAAGTGCCCAGTATGACTCAACAATCTGTGGTTAGAAGAAAGAAAGCTAGACCTGATGAGGGAAGTAAAAGGCGAAAGAGGGAATAAGATAATCGACGACGTGCGATTTAATAATTATTGATAGCTGCCATCGAGACACTATGAACCTTTCTGTCTCAAGGCGTCTGAACAGAAGAGGAAGAAGGGGAAGACAGGAAAGAGGGTAATAGGGAAAGGCTGGAGCTAATTGTCGGGGAAGATATTTTTACCAGATACGGCAGATAACCTTAAATTTATTCTTATTTTGAAAAGGAAATCAAGAAACATTCCATCAAATTTTGTAGGATAGTTCAAATCTATTAACAGTATTCCATTTCCCCTTTTTCTTTGTTTTCCTCATAATTATGAATTGTCTTTTCACTCGGTAATTCCTTTTGAGGTGGAATTTGCTATTGCTTACAAGTTAAGAAATATTACCATAATTAAAACAGTCTGTTCTTCCATATACAATATGAAAATATTATCAACATAGTGAGATTAAAGTATGAGTAAGAATGCCTCATAACGGCGATTCTGTACTTTGATCTTGTGTAGAAGTAAGTGTGTATGTGAAGAATGGGGCAAGTGTTCTGTTAGCAAGTAAAATATTTAATACTTTGAAAAGTGATACCAAAGTAATGTCTTGCAATTCTTACAAAAAAAAAAAACTTTAATTTTTTCATCTGCATATTTGATATAACTTTCAACTTTTATTTATTCTACTTCAGTAATTTCCTTTACTAAAAAAACATGAAACAGAAATCATTTAATTATAACCACATTATTACTCCCACTATATCATATCTTAACTACCTATAAGTCAGTACAGTAACTGATCATCATCATCAGCAGTTTCGTATTGTAATTTGTTTAGTTACTGTAAATCTGAATAACATTGGAGTGAATGATTGGATGGAGCATCAAAATTACGACTCTATTAACGATGGTATCACGTTTATTAGCTGATAAACGGTACACGTGTAAAAGTTACCGGAATTCATGTTATAATTTCTTTTTAAAGACAATAAATCGCATATATTGCCTTTGTTAATCTTTGAAACCTAAAATTGTTACGACATTTATTGTAATGAGCAGTAATAATGGAGCATTTAACAACGTTCACTATCACCACATTTTCCTTTTTTATTGTTTTTTTTCTTTCTTTTTTTGTTATTTGAAAAAAACAACAATCAATTTCGTTTTTCGAAAATCTCAGCTTCTGTAAAGCAAAATATGATCAATACCTTCAATTGATAAATGGAGGAAGTACTGAAATCATTTAATCATTTCAAATTTATACTTTGTTTAAATTTAACGAATACGAAGTGCTCATGGAAACACATTCAAAGTGAATTGAATTAAAAACAAGGTAATTTGGTTGGCTAATAATCAGTTCAATTACAAAATTATTTAATAGAGTAAAGAGGAAATCAATTATCTTGCATTACATATTAATGGAATTTTGGAATATTTCTTGGAACTAAACTTGACGAGCGAAATAATTTTTATTTTTAATGGATTTTTCGAATACTTTTAAACAATTCTGTTTCTTTCTCAATCTCTTCTCTTCTTAAAAACTTCTATCCTTGAAATATTTCAAGTTGAAATTAATTTCACTGTTCGTTATCACTTCTGTCTTTAGCTTCCAGGCTAATCCCGTCATTCTATTTAAATCCTCTCCCATTACTTCTCGAGCATTTCAAAGGGTCATGTTTTAACTGAACAAAATTCTGACTCCATTGATATGTTGCAAATTAGCAATCTGATTTTTTGATCATTACTGACTACTCTTTTCCTTTCAATGACGGAAAATTACTCACTATTATTACCTAAGAGGACTGAGTTGTTACATACATTAAAGCATGCAAAATTAATTAGAAACGATGTGAATTTTGAGAACTTCTCACAAAATTCAATTTCTTCCTATGAAATGATGAACTTTTGTTAAACTTTCCCCGAAAATTCTGTAAGTACTGAATTATCATTTCTCTCTCCTCAGATTTATATCTTAGTACCAGAAACTTAAATCGATTATTCCGCATTTCGTTACAACATAACATTTTTTAAGTTCCGATCCACTTTTTGCTCATTGATCAGTTAATTACTATTTACTTTCTCAGTTAATCGTTTTGTCCGTCCATAATTTTTTGTATGATCTTGAAAATGTCATTACGTTACCGTGAGGTAATCTAATCAAAAATGCTGTGCAATATAAATAATAGTGATGATGATGATAATAATAATAATAATAATAGTAATAATAATAACAATAATGATAATAATAATAATAATAATAATAATAATAATAATAATAATAATAATAATAATAATAATAATAATAATAATAATAATAATAATAATAATAATAATAATAATAATAATAATAATAATAATAATAATAATAATAATAATAATAATAATAATAATAA